ATGATAAAGGGAGATCCCCTTTTGCTCCGAACAGTTGCCCTAAAGTCTGAGCCCTAAGCCCTACAACCTCCAGGGTTTAGGGTTTAGGGTTTAGGGTTTAGGGTTTAGGGTTATGAAACACACCTCCTGTCCGATCAAAGGGTAGCATTGATGGCGCAGACCAATCGTCATCTCTCGGTGACGGCCCCTACCGCTACAACTTCCTGAACATCAGTTCTGACTGGGACGCACAAGTTTTTCCTTTTCGCACCAAGGTTAGTCCTAACAGTACAAAGCATACTTTCCTCCGAGGTTTCTGGGGAACCTAGCCTGAAACAACGCTGCCATCCAAATTACGGGCCTCTTTGGGATTTCCAGGGGTCAGGGTACGTCTGCAGAGAGAGCAGGCCCCGTAGAAGGGACACTTCATCCTACCACCCAGTATAGCCCCATGACCATCCTCTGACCCCTCTGACCCCCCATTGTTCAGCACGAATTTGGCAATTCTATCCATTTTTGGCCCCTCTGACCCCTTTTGACCCCGCAGTCGGGAATTTGATCCATTTCGGCCCCTCTGACCCCTTTGGCCCCCCCCTCCCCATTGTTCAGCACGAATTAGGGATGTTGATCCATTTTGACCCCTCTGACTCTCTGACCCCCCCATTCCCCAGCACGAATTTGGGCCTTGGCCCCTCGGGAATTTGATCCATTCTGGCCTCTCTGACGCCCTTGACCCCTTTATTGTTCAGCGCGAATTAGAAGTTTGGCCTCTCTGACACCTTTGACCCCCCATTGCTCAGTGCGGTTGGCAGGCTCTGCAGCCCAGCAGAGCCAGGAATCCAGCAGGGCACAGGACTGAGGACTCAGGGTTCCTGGATGGAATAACTTGAGTCTTGAGGTCTGTGTGATTGTTTGGGCTCTTGGTGCGTCTGAAAAGAAATTAGTAAACTTTCTATTTCGTTGCCTACACACACTGCTGGGCTAGTAAATGCTCGAACTTGAGATGCTGAACCCTAAACCCTATAACCCCTAACCCTAAACCCTAAACCTTAAACCCTAAACCCTAAATCCTAAACCCTAAACCCTAAACCTTGTAGTGATCTTGGTGGGCGCTTTCATAGGAGGACTTCCACATGGCCCCGGCCGTCTCACATGTGTTGTTCCGGGGGGGAAGTCTGGCGACGTGGGCCTTTGTCATGGGAGTGTGGACTCTATAGTCTATTCATGGCCCCAAACCCTAAACCCTAAACCCTAAACCTTAAACCCTAAACCCTAAACCCTAAACCCTAAACCCTAATCAAACCCTAAACCCTGAACCCTAAACCCTAAACCCTGAACCCTGAACCCTGGACCCGAAACCCTAAACCCTAAACCCTAAACCCTAGACCCTAACCGTAAACCCGAAAGCCTAAACCCTAAACCCTAAACCCCAAACCCTAAACCCTAAACCCTAAACCAGAGATTGAAGGCCTTTAGGTTTTCTAAAAGTTTGGTGTTCACAGCAGAGGGGTTGGCATAGGCACTTGACAAATTACTGTTACCCTAAACCCTAAACCCTAAACCCTAAACCCTAAACCCTAAACCCTAAACCCTAAACCCTAAACCCTAAACCCTAAACCGTTACATGTGTGGCAGCCTCTTGAATACGGCCCACGCCTACGGTCTCCAAGCTGCACGCCTCAAAGCCCAGCAGTGTTCCGAGGTTCCCAGTAGGCGATAGGCCAAGTATGTAATAGGGTTTAGGGTTTAGGGTTTCGGGTTTAGGGTTGAGGGTTTAGGGTTTAGGGTACTGAAAATCTCGAATGGTTTCTGGGTAGGATTGAAGCTGCGACGTGTACCATCCGTGCGGCATGCAGTCAGCGAAGCGGACTGAACAAGACAAAAGGTTTGAGGTTGAAGGTTTCATGTTTCAGTTTACGGTTTTGTGTTCAGAGTTTGAGGGCTTACAGATTGTGGAAGTACCGGTGGCGAAGATGGAACGCGCTGGGACAGGTATTGCTCGCCCCTTGGATTGAGTCAAGTGAAAGTTTTTACTGAGAACCGTTGCGCCAGCCCTGGTGGTGTGCCAGAAGATGCCCCAAGCCCTATAAAACCCTAAACCCTAACCCCTAAACCCCTGCCTGACCCGACCCTAAACCCTAAATCCCTAAACCCTAAACCCTAAACCCTAAACCCTAAACCCTAAACCCTAAACCCTAAACCCTAAACCCTAAACCCTAAACCCTAAACCCTAAACCTAAACCCTAAACCCTAAACCCTAAACCCTAAACCCAAACCCTAAACCCCAAATTTTGGGAAACCCCTCCCAGAAACATGGATGAGGTCATTCAAGGCAGCTTTTTAGGCTCGCAGGGCTCCCTCCCTCCCGTTCTCCGTCCCGGACTCGCCCCCCCGCCCCCCCCCCCCCTGTCTGTTGCGGTTTAGGGTTTTGGATTAGGGTTTGCAGAACAAACCCAAGGCCCTGTAGACTCCGAGGTTTTCAAGTTCAGGGTTTGGGGTGCCAGCCAGAAGAGATTCACCGACATGGCTGCGGATCGGCCGCGCCGGCACGCCACAATTCATGGCGTTGCACTTCGCGTGTTTCAAGTTCGAACGGAGAATTTAGACACCACGTTTTTCGTTGATCGGCTATCTTGCAGGCCATTCGCCCTCATTTACTCCATTCTTCGATCAGTATAGTCCTTATTAGCTGCTGAGTTTTGGAGTTTCAGAGTTTGGGGTTGAGGGGTTACGGTTCTGCGTTTAGATTGGACGATGCTGCCTGGGCCGGAGATGCCGCGTACGTCTTTACTAGACAGCCCAGGACAGGAGCAGTGTATCCCCAAGCTCTAAGACCTGCTTGGAAAGCCCTTTTTGATTTAGTAAGTAGACTTAGTATGATTCCCACAACCCACCTTATTCGCCTTACTTACGAAGTCAGACGGGCTTCCGAGTAAACCCTAGCTAGCATTTAAGGAGCGATGTACATGGAACCCTTCAGGGCCTTAAGTGCACCTAACCTCTGTGGGACTCTGAGCGGTATCGGCGGTTTTCCTTTCCTTGCGTGCTTCTGAGAAGCATGCCCGCCGAAGCATAGGAGCCCCCTGTGAACTCAGGGTTCATATTCAGGTCAGTTTGCGAGACGCCTTCATTTTGAGAGCCAACCCTAAACCCTAAACCCTAAACCCTAAACCCTAAACCCTAAACCCTAAACCCTAAACCCTAAACCCTAAACCCTAAACCCTAAACCCTAAACTTTGATGGCTCAGAGAGGCGTTTTTGCCCCGTTTCTTCGGGATGATTTGAAGAGTTCAGATCCAGCTCTACCGCCCGTCTGTGCCGCTTAAAGGCCGCACCCTGGGGCGACTCCATGGGTTTGGGGTCTAGACGTTTAGGGTTTAGGGTTCAGGGTTTAGGGTTTAGGGTTAGGGTTTAGGGTTTAGGGTTTAGGGTTTAGGGTTTAGGGTTTAGGGTTTAGGGTTTAGGGTTTAGGGTTTAGGGGGTAAGAGGTCCAAACTCGGAGCCTGAGAGGTCCCAAATTGACGGCAGCGGAGCTGGTCAGGCCGCGCACTGGTTTTCAGAGAGCTGTTGCAGGCCTCCGTCCGATGGATCGTGCACATGGCCCACTGGTAAAAGGTTGGGTTTAGGGTTTAGGGTTTAGGGTTTAGGGTTTGGGGTTTGGGGTTTGGGGTTTAGGGTTTAGGGTTTAGGTTTAGGGTTTAGGGTTTAGGCTTTAGGGTTTAGAGTTCAGGGTTTAGGGTTTAGGGGCGAACCCCCCTAAACCCTGTAAACCCTGAACCCCTGGAGGCGCCCCACAGTGGAGTGGAGGCGGAAGGGCGCTTGCGCGGTGGGGGGGGGGGGGGTGAATTGCGCCCCACACTCACCCAAGCCCTAAGCCTATACCCTAAACCCTACCTGAAACCCTAAACCTGTAACCCTAAACCTGAAACCTAAACCCTAAACCCGAAACCCTAAACCCTAAACCCTAAACCCTAAACCCAAGCCGTAAGACTTCTGAACCTGCTGGAGAATGCTCAACCCGAAACTTGAAAGAGTAGTGATCTGCTGAAACTTTCACCCTAAGGGCCCATGTACCTAAACAGGGAATTACTCGGGCCTTAAAGTACCTCCTATTTGAGGACTTTGGGGCCCAAGTATATGATAATGAGGTACATGGACCCTTAGGGTCAGTAAGGGTCCATGCTCTTCATTATGTCATATACATGAGCCCCAAAGTCCCTACATAGAAGGTACAAAAAGGCCCACGCCTTCCTAGGGTTTAGGGTTTAGGGTTTAGGGTTTGGGTTTAGGGTTTAGGGTTTAGGGTTTAGGGTTTAGGGTTTAGGGTTTAGGGTTTAGGGTTCGGGTTTAGGGTCTAGGGCTTGGGGGTTTCTCACGTCCCGTTCTCCTGCCGGACGATGTGGGGTTCAGGATTTGGGGGCCCTGGACTTCTACAGAGCCGAGTGCTTATCTAGGGTGCCCAGTAGTACCCTTATGCCCTTTTTGGGGGGTTTAGGTTCCCTTATAAACCCCTTTAAGCAAAAAAAGGGCACCCTTTTGTAAGCCTAGGTTACTGGGCAGCCTAGTTATACAGGGTGTAACAGTAGGAGGGGACAGGGCCCGAAGCATCCTCCTCTGTCCTCTATATCCCCCTTCGGAATTCATTTGTATTTTTGTTCATATATAAACCAAGAGGATTTTTAAACATATCATTTTTTTAGTTTTTGTCATATAAAACCAAGAATATCTTTTTATTCAAGTTCTAAGGGGAGTACTGTCCTCCTTTTGTGTCTTCGGTGCTGTACTGCACAAGACAAGTGCGCAGCATTTGGATGCACAGCAGCATGCAACGGGCGATTCCAGCGAAGGTGGCCTGACCCGTTTTTGCAGAGCCCAAATCGCCCCCCCCCCCCCCCCCTAAACCCTGAACCCTAAACCCTGTTAAGGACTCAGTTAGGTCGCAAAGCCACATGTCCAAATTTGTGAGAGCCTGGCATGTAAAAAACAAAAAAAGATCATGGCTGCCGCCTTACCTTCAATATCACCCACCATTCCCAATCAGTTTTGGGCTTCCCCGGTGTACTACACAATCTCTACATAGCCAAAAAGTTAGAACATGAACTGGCCAACAAAAATAGCCCGTCTACTCCAACATGATACTATTTGACTGCAGACATGGAGGTGCCACCCAAGAGTCAGCAGTACTTGCGGAGGTAGGGCTGTGACGTGCCAAGCCGGATACGCCGAGACGCCAGCCATGGTGGCTTCCCGCATGGCGCTGCGCCAGGCGCGGCCTTTTGTTCTCTTTTGGGCGTACTCTGAACAGTTTAGTAAGACCCTATAGTTTAGGGCCTTGGGTTCCTGTTTTGGGGGGTACTCTGAACATAGAAGGGCCTGCATGATCATAAGGCCCCAGTTTTTATGGTGCCGACCCGCAAACCCCATAACTTGAGCCTCTAGGCAGGTTCCTACTCGGCCGACATCTCCACTGTCAGGCACCCCTGAGCCTTAAACCCCAAACCCTAAACCCCAAACCCTAAACCCTAAACCCTAAACCCCAAACCCTACACCCCAAACCCTAAACCCCAAACCCCCAAACCCTAAACCCTCACTGCGCCAGGACAATTAAAGCGTCCATGCACAAGCCTCGACCTTGTTCCGGTTTGGTGTCTAGGGGGCCCTAAATCTTAGGGTTTAGGGTTTAGGGCTTAGGGTTTGGGGTTTAGGGTTTAGGGTTTGGGGTTTAGGGCTTAGGGTTACGGTTTGAGCCATTAAAGCCCCTACACCCTGAAGCCTTAAAGCCAAACCCTCAAATCCGAAAGGCCCCAGGCCCCAAGAACTCGCCCCGAGAGCAGCAATGCCCGGGTGTACGATCTGAAGGATACCTTATTGGGGTCCTTGCATAAGGGAATCCTACTATTTGAAAAACTCTACCATGTGAAGCCCTAAACCCTAAACCCTAAACCCTAAACCCTAAACCTTAAACCCTCAACCCTAAACCCCAAGTATGCCGAGGTGTGGCTCGGTTGTCGACGCGCGGCATGGATGGTCACAGCCCGGCCGGAGACCTCAAGCAGCTGAATCAACACCTTAGGGACTGGGTAGGCAGCCTTTACCCATTTATATAGAATCCTACTATGCGCACGAATTTACATACATATATATATATATATATTTTTGTTTTTTAGTTATATATGTTTTTTTACATACATACATACATACATACATACATATATATATATATGTAGGTTTAGCTATTTCGGGGCTAGGGTATTAGCCCCTAAGACACTCTCAACCCCTATGAACCTAAACCGAAAAAGCGGAAAGCCCACACACACCCTAAGCCCTTCAACTCACCTGTTGCGGAGCTTTCGGAGCTATTCGGCATCCCAACCCCCCTAGTCCCCAAACCCCTGAACCCCAGACTCCAAACCCTAAACCCTAAAGCCCAAACCCTAAACCCTAAACCCCAAACCCTAAACCCTAAACCCTAAACCCCCAACCCCTGCATCCTCAACTCCCCTTGGACCCCCCCCCAACTTCCCCGGGCCCCCCCCACATGCTCTGGTGCTGTCAGCGGTCTAGGGCCCTTGTAGCCAGATTCCAAGAAAGGCCAAAGCCCTAAACCCTAAACGACAAACCCTAAACCCTAAACCCTAAACCCTAAACCCTTGAGAAGGTTGGGGGGGGGCGAGGGTTCTCGGACGTCCCCTGCACTGAGGGTTAAGGTTCTAGGGCTTGCAGATCTGAGGTCGATATGAAGGTTTAGGGTTTAGGGTTTAGGGTTTAGGGTTTAGGGTTTAGGGTTTAGGGTTTAGGGTTTATAGGGCTTAGGGCCTAGGGTCTAGGCGTTTCGGGATAGGGTCGTTAGGGATTGGACATTTAGGGGTTATAGGGTTCGGGAAACACCCTAGTCCAAAAAGTATTGAGTCAGAACACCTGAGGTGACATAGCTAACAAGTGCTCGCCTCAGCACGAGGTAGGCACCGAGCAACACCAGAGCACGTATCCGAACAGGAGGCAGGCACCACAGGCGACGGACAAGAATCCAGCAGGAGTAGTTCCCCTCAATCAAACAAAGCCGGACATCCAGCATCGGGAAAGATATAGAACGACCGACAACAACAACAATCAAACTCAACACCCTAAACCCTAAACCCTGACACCGACTAAACCCTAAACCCTCAAACCAGCTAAGCCCTAAGCCCTTGATCCTTGACCCTTCGGCCAACGAGCACAACATTCAAGCTCGACTCTTGACCCGAATTCCTCCAAGTGAGCGTTTTCACCATTCAGGTCATCCCGAGCCTCTTGGGTCCTCAAAAGCCAGGATCTGAGACGCAAGAACCCTCTGTACGAGGCACGGAGTCCCTCTGTAGGAGGGTCCTTGGAGCCTGAGGGCAATGAGAGGACTGGAACAGAACGAAGCCAAACCAATAGCAACACACAGAGAGACACGGACATACACGGACACGCCGTGCAACAGGGCATCGCACGCGCGGAAACATCAAAACAAGCAAACCAATCCCTCAACCCGGGGATCCCTCCCCAATCCCTGCGCCCATGGCAACGTGCGCTCCTCTCACCCCCCGCCCCCCCCGCCCCCCCCCCCCCGTCGGCACACTGTCCGAGGAATCTCTGAGCTTTTCATCGGGCGGTGCCCCCTGAAACCTAGCGTGTGCTTGCAGATTCCCACGGGTCGACTTTGCTCCACGCGGATGGGTCGACTTCACACGACTCGAGGTGACCTTAGGGAGTGCCGACTTTGCATGGCTTGGGATGAGTTTTGAGGGTTCAGGGTTAAGGGACTTTAGGGCTTATAGGGTTTAGGGCGTATAGGGTGTGTGTTAGGGAGTCTAGGGGCCTGAAATGCTTAAACCTGGCCCCTCAACCCTCTGCCTCCGCGCCCCCTGTCGTGTAAGGCCGAGATGTGGCACAGCACTGGGCGGCCTGGTGAGGTCGGTGTCTTGGTAGACCAGTGGCACCCTTTTGCCCTGGTTCCCTTATGAAGTAACCCACCCCCCCCCCCCAAAAAAAAAAAAACTAATAATAATATAAATAAATAAATAAATATATATATATATATAGTGTTCCTTTAAAGAGCTGATTCCCTCAACCCAAAATTCTCAACCCTCAACCCGTATGCTAATATGATTCCCGGGCTAGCAAGGTTGAGGGCTGCAGGTGTAGGCTGTTAGACCTGGACGTTTCAGATCTTCATTTGATCATTGCATTGTCATTATCTTATAGCCTTAGTAGCTGAGTGAGCACACGTTACACTTTTTGGGATACTCTAATTCCCTATAGAACTGAAAGTGTACACTGTTTTGGGGCTTATGAACTCAGCAACGAAGTAGCCATGAGTATTAGATATAATCCTAACCATGAGAATGTAGGTACCTTAAAGAGGAAACAAAATGCGGAGTTCTTATGTGCATTTCTGGTGATGTTGTAGCGCTGAGCGTAGTTTTTTGGGTTTGGTTGTGTGTTGCAGCTCTGCTCGAGGATCTATAGTGCTCCACCCTAAACCCCTGGGCGTCGGCAATCTTGGACTGCCTGTGGGCAATGTCGCCACGGGACACTTGGGAGAAGCCTGGTTTTACGCATGCGACTCTTGTCAAGGGCACCCTTTTTGAGGGGCTTGTAAGGCTTACCTGAAGGCTCCAATGTAGTTCCTTGTTGGGTTAGTTATAGGGGATTCCTAAGCCCTAACCCCCAAACCCTAAACCCTGAACCCCAAAAAAGGTACCACGTAGGAGCCTCTGGGTAGGGTTCAGGCTTCAGGGTTTAGGGGATGTCGGAGATGCCCTAGAAGGACGGAGGGCTCGCTGGTTGCCAAGGGTCAGTGTTGATCATTTGGCCACACCAAGACGGGCTAGTATACCCTATATATATATATATACAACCCCTTAAAAAGGTGCTTTATGGGGTTGATTATGGGGATTACAGGGCCTACTAGCCCATCCTGGAAGCATGCCGGCGTTCCTTCCCATCAGCGAAGTGCTTCCCAGCGGCGAAGTTTCTGATACAGAAGCATGCAGGCGAGGCCAACGGATAGGGTTGCGCTCAGGCAACTGAAAATCTTTCTGCACGGAGTCCTGGCGGTAAGCGGACGAAAGTCGGGATTAGGGTTTAGGGTTCAGGGTTTGGGGTTTGGGGTTTAGGGTCAAGGGTTTCAATGAGACAACGGGTTCAGGCCAATTCAAAATCCCTAAGCCTGGAAGCCAAAAAGCTCTTTAAACCCCCCCAGTTCGGGCGACCTAGTGTCTGAGTTTGTTACTATTTGCTGATTAAGAAGCCTCCCGCCCCCCCCCCCCCCCCCCCCCCCCCAAAAAAAAAAAAAAAAAAAAACAATGTCAATATTCTTCCTCCTAAGGGCAGTATAGGGATGATGTTCTTTTCGGGGGCGGGCTCTTACGCAAAGAGTAGTTTTGGAGAGGGCCGCTGGGCTTTTGGGGCTGAGTCAGGGTCAAATCATTGGACGCATCGCAGACCGCCTTCGACCGTGCCGCCTGCCAGCGCTCTGTGTGCCAGGCGGGCACGGGTTCAACCCGAACTCTACCTTAAGAACCTGAAACCTTGGAATGTTTCCCCTTATACTTAACAGTCCTTATAGAATAGGATTAAAATAGGGGGTACTATCCCTATTTAGGACAACTAGTAGAAGAGGGAACATCCCAACAGAAACCTCTACCTCTACCCGCAGGCTTTGAGTTCGTAAGTATCGCTAGACCCCGCCTACCTTCAGCCCGCACCCATGACTGTCTTGATGTTTTTGTTGGTATCCTTTCCTAAACCTGAAACCTTAAAACCTTAAGCCCTGCATCCTGAACCTTAAACCCTAAACCCTAAACCCTAAACCCTAAACCCTGGTTTCTTTTTGTCCAGGGGCTTGTTTGAGGTGGCTAGTGGTGTGGATCTTGCATGGGCGCAATGTTACATCGGCTGGGCCGGAGCTGAGGGCAGTCCTAGCCCTAAACCCCCAAACCCCAAACCCCAACCCCTGCCCTCAAAGCCCTCAAGGCCTAAGACGCTGTGAATC